CCCCCCCCCCCCCCCAAATTCAGAAGCATGGATCACAAAGTTATTTATGTGACACTTCTATATTGTCAAAGTTAAATGGTGTGACACACAGCAGGATTTTTAGAAAGGCAACTTTAAAAGAGAAAAAAATGATCAATAAATCAATAAATTATGAATCATTTACTGCCATTGTGTGAATAATATAATCATGCAATCCATAAAAAGTAACTGTAATCTGATTACGAGCATTTTAAAATGTAATATAATCTAATTACAAGTACTTCATTTTTGGAATCTGATTACATAATCCATATTACATGTAATCTGTTACTATGTTTCATATACAGCGCTGGGTAGTAACTCATTACATGTAATCTGGATTACGTAATCAGATTCCAAAAATTAATTATGCGTACTTAGATTACATTTTAAAATGCTTATAATCAGATAAATTACTTTTTTATGGATTACATGATATTCTCACATTATTTTGGCCTAAAATATTTACTTCATGTCCCCCTGAGATTTTGTTAATTTTCAATAATTTAACAACACATTCGCATGTTGTAGTGTTGAATTGTTTTTGTTTTACATTTTTTTTCTTCTTCAAAAAGTATAAAACTATCCATTTTTCTTGTAGTTTTTTTCTCTTTTCTTTTCATTTTCTCATTTAATTAATCCACTTTTCATCAACTCGCATATTTACAAGTGAATCATATACAAGTACGAATACAAACCAATGCAATCATATACAACTTAGTCACATTCAGCTGAATTAAATACAAACCAATGCAAGTTGTTGCATCCAAGTTAAATCAGTGGTTCTCAGTTGGTGTGTAGAAGGTTCGTTTCGATCAATGCTAAATGCAATTAATAAAGCACAATTAATCTTAAAATATTGTATAGCTGGATATCCAAACAAATGTTAAAAACACTTGCCATATCTTTTGTTGGTCATGTGTCTAATCAAATTCTATAACTGTAAATTCAATACTAACTCAGTGTGTTAGTTCTCGTATTGATTAGGCATTCAAAAAACTGTCATGTTATTAATATTGCATATCTGACTCAAGCAGTTCATGCCAATATTAATAAACCTCATGTTTTAATTTTTGGTGCTTTTGTAAAATAAAGTGGCGGCTCGTGGGTTTTAAAATAGAGGCGGCACACTAATTGTATCGGTCTGGGATCCCTGCTGTTTATTATTATTATTTGCTTAACTACTTTAAAATGGCTTTTTGGTTGCTTTTAGTCAGAAAACGTAAAGAAAATGACACACATACAGCAAGATAATATCATTTCACTTACCTGGCCTATCACTTGAAGCAAACATCCATTCCTTCTTAAAAGTCTGTGTTAAAAGAGAGCTGCCAGTTGTGCCATTTAATTAAGCCGACTGCTGTAGCCTATATCCAGCTTAGACTGTTTTCCCTAAATTTGTATATATACTGTTTGAATGACAGCTTGGTAAATCTGTTGGCGATCAAATATTCAATATCGCTACTCATCATAAGTACTTGGTACATTATCAGCGCAGCGGCAGACGTTCAAACTAATATCACGTAATGTACGTCTCTTTGATGATTGGTTGATATCAGAAGGGAGGCTAGCCTCCTCTACGAGGTTTCTTTACTCAACACTCCTCAGCGCTGAAAGTGAACACTCGATGCTGATTGGCTAATTTTTTTTACCAACGGAGGCACGAGAGCTCAGCTCTCCCCCGGCCTCCCCCTCCCCTTCTCTATCATTTGTGCCGAATCTGCTTTCGCAATAGAAAAGCGGCGCTTTCACGTTATGGTATTACAACTATGAAATTACAAACAAAAAATACACATTCTGAGACATGAACTGAAATGTGAATTTTGTTAACATTAAATCGTCCTCCCATTTTAACCTTAAAATTATGGGGAAGCTGTGCCTCCCCCGACAACAAACAATGCCAGTCGCTGAAAGCAAAACCATTTGAGAACCACCGAATACAGTAAAAGCTGCTGTTTGAAAGAAATTCAATTATTATGTTGCATGTTCATAATGGGCTTTTTCAATTATCATCTGTCAGAGCGGACGGAAATGCATTATTAATCAAGCTGAAGAGTGCTGTAACCCATCAGCGTCTGCAGGGGCTACGAGGAAAGGGCCAAACCTGCACTTATTTCTGACACTCGCACCGAGGCTTTTTGTCCCAGTTCTGGAATAACTGGTGGTTATAAGCACTACAGGCTTTTTAAAGGGGCTGATGTTCCCTTTAAGTCTAGATTTGACTTAAAAAAGACGGTTACAAGCTGTGCAAATGTCCATAATATTAAAGAGCTTAAAATGTGTCAGTGCTGAAACCCTCACTAAGAGAAAACATGCATCAAAAATATATTAAATTAAAAGTAACATTAAATATATATTAACATTTATTGCTACATTCTGCTAGTTTAAATAAAAATCTTAATGGTCCTAAAAAGGCTAAATTTTATACACTAAAATAATGTAAAAAGACAATAAATGAATAAAAAATTATAATGTTTATATATTAGTATCCGTTGCTAAATTTAACATTATTTATGCTCATTTAAATTTTAATATTAATAATATATATAATTTATTAGATTTAATAAAATAAATTACATTTTTTATGCTAATTTATATATATATATATATATATAAATGGTCATGAAAGGCTACATTTTATTTTCAAATATTTCAAAATCAAAATAATAAATCTATAATTAAAAAATACAAAAATCATATTAAGATTTGTTGCTAAATTTCAACATAACATATGCTCATTTAAATTGTAATATATATATATGGTTCTATAAAGGCTCCATTTTAATATATTATTAATATTAATAACATTAAAAATCAATAATATATATATATATAATATTAATAACATTAAAAAATAATAAAATTGTTAATTAAAATAATATATTTGATATATTTTTAATTGTAATTTTTAGGAGATTCACTCTTAAACCTCTTAAAACTATAAACAATAACATTAAGCAAATGATAATTACTGTCAATGTGGAAGGCATTAGTGAGGCTAACAGCAAGATTCAGTGCTCGTGATGTGATTTAACTTCAGTTCTCTTCATATTGACTGTATCAGTGCTCACGGAGAGATGTTCCAAATACCTTTTTCTTTAAAGTATTTGCTTCTTTCACTAGATGCAAGTATAACATTTGACCATTGAACAGTTGTACCTTCATGATGATCATAAATCATGCGAGTCATGTGAAGGTCCCCGCGGATGATGCCGTCCCCGAGCACGCCTGCTGGAAAAGAGTAATTAAAAGAGTAACAGAAGACAAAGCCGTGTTTGAAGAGAACAGGGAGTGATTTCCAGAGCAACCTGCCGATGGGAGGCATTTAATAATAAGAAGCTAATCCCAAAAGATCCTGCATTAAACTGAACGCAGGGCTCTGAGGCAGCGCTGCTTCTTCAAAACAACACTACTGAAGTTTTTAGTATCTGTTGCACACATGTAAGTTGCTGTAGAAGTGGGTTTTACTTTTACTACACCAACTGCACATAGCAGTGATCGTTTTAACTTGATCAAAATAATTAATTAGTGGGTGTGTGATAAGCTCCGCCTCCTTGAAGGGATCAGGTGAGAGAAGCAGGTCATAACAGAGAGGCAGGAAAATAATTATGAATATTAACAGTAATGGAATCAAGCTTTGCTGAAATATCTACATAAAGGCCAAGAATTAATTCATGCACAATGTGTTTCACTGAAAATCCATTAAAATAAAGCATTGCAATATGAGCCACAATCTTAAGTTTTATATGTATAATTAATATTTATATAAAGAATTATATATACTTGTATCCAAGTTTATATAAATCGATACAAACAACTTGAATACATACATATATATATATATATATACAGATTTGTTGCTAAATTAAAAAAAAAATGTATGCTAATTTAAATGTAAATATTAATATCAAAATGTTGTAATGGTAGCAAATGGCTGCAATATAACAGAGTGAAAAATGTAAGGGGGTCTGAATACTTTCCGTACCCACTGTATATATATATATTTTCATGTATTATTAAATGTATTGTCTCGGATTAAATCAAACAAATTTAAACCACAAAAAAAAAAAAATTCTCAACACCAACATTATGACATTTAATGGTAATAATAACTTAATTTAAGTTTAATTATAAAAATAAAAAAATGTTTTAATAAAAAAAATCTCGATACCTTTAATTTTTACATGCAGCTATTGTTGGTATAAATGCATAAATAAGATCCATTGTAGGTATAATTTTAATGCATTTGAATCATCTGTGCAGTGAAATCAGTGCAAGCATCACAGCACAGGGCTGGTAAAAGTTTTTAATGCTTATTATTAATATTTAACATTCATTTCAAAAGAACACAAATGAACACAAAATACTTAATTAAAGTGACAGCAAAATATAAAAATCAACCTTTAGTCACTTAAGTGTGTTCTTCAAACCGTAACACCGTGCAACTCATCTGGACTGATGAAACATCAGCACGATTAAAACTTATTACCATTTACAATCAAACAATTACCAGTTTGAGTGCTAAACTAGCAGAGAACCTGCTTCAAACGACCCACCAGAAACCAAAACATTCTGCAGTCTTTTGTAAAACAATAATTTAGACCTTAATAGTCCTTCATTTTTAATCAAAGAGCAAAACAAAACAAATGGTTTTATACCCTTCAGTTCATTCATACCCAATAAAGTGCTAATTAACATACTTGTACAATCCTTGTGAACCATCCACACCAAATCCCACGACACATGTGCTTCTGTCAGATATATACGAGTTAAGATGAAGAATACTAGTGTAGAAGACTAGGTTAGTCAGCTAGTGTGCTGGTTAAGTCTAAATGCACACCGTGTCTATGGGTTTGTTCCACTAAACTTCATGAAGTTACACATTCAAGTTGTTTGTAGTGCTTTCAGACTGAAATCCCACCAAAGTGGCTTAGATGAAGGTTAACTGTGCGCTGAAGCATTAACAATCTTTAACCTACGAGAAGATAAACTAAGCAGAACAATCACAACCAGTGTTTTCAGCGTTCAGCATCCAGTAAAACCACACGACGCTCAAACCTTCCCAAAAACACTCCAAGCACAGAAGCGTTTAGAGTAACTCGACATGAGCCAATGATATTTCCGTTCTTCTGTTTGTTTTGGGTTTAGTGCATTTCCCATCTAAACCACTTTCCCATTCTCTCTGGCCTGGGGAAAAAAAAAAGAGAAATTCAATTAACACAATTAAACAGATGCATGACATCAATATATTAATATATATATTTATTTATATGACATCTACATTTTTATATTGCGTTATATTTTTTAACATTAAAAAAAAAAATCTTGATTTAATGTAGTTAGCCATACAGTATTGTAATTTTAGTTGTAAATTTAAATTACTATTACATAATTTTTCTTAAATATTTTTATTTTATTTAGTAATGATAATTATTTTTAGCACACTATACTTATATATCACACTTAAAATTATTTTATAATTTTTCCTAAATACTTTTTATTTTACAGAGAAATAATAAAATAGTAATATTTCTTACTTTTAATTTAGTTATGTAAATTTTTATTTAGTAATAACAATAATATTATATATAGCTGTTGTGATATAATGATAATTCAAACTATCGATTAAAGTTATATTTTTAATACAATAAAAAAAAACATTAATTCTTCAAGCATTTAATGTAGGCCTGTCATAAGACAGACATAAATATTACTATTATAATTTTAGGTGTAAAATAAGATTATGATTTCATTATTTTTCTTAAATATCTTTTTTTTACACTGAAATATTACAATAGCAATATTTCTTATTTTTTATATGTTTATTTTATTGAGTAAAAATCATCATCTTCATTATTTTATAGCCACATAATCACAAACTTTTAGCTCTACAATTGCAGCCTTTTAAATAAACACAGCAGCCTGGAATTTTCTTTTAAATGCATTTTAAATCGCAATTTTAGCGATTTTTATTCTCCCCAAATCGTGCAGCCCTAGATCAATGTAAAAAGGCCAGAAATGGACTGTAGTCTTGCATTTAAACACTTTAAAACTGATGTAACCGTGCTCTGTACATTGCAGGATGAATAAGTGGCCTGGTTTCATATATAGTGCTGCTTTCTAGGGTATTTCTGAAGCACTTAAGGTGGATAATGGAGTTTCTGCGGGCCGTTAAATCCTGTGAGGTGGGACACTTCAAATCTGCAAGTCAAATGAGGCTTTAATGCAGCACACTCACCATATCAGCGCTGGTGCTGCGGTCGGGAAGAGACTCGGCCGGCTCCAGATTCAGGACAGACAGACTCGAGTCCATCAGTTCTTCTGCCAGAGAGAGAAAACACACACACACACACACACACACACACACACACACACACACACACACAGACACAGACACAGACACAGACACAGACAGACAGACAGACAGACAGACAGACAGACAGACACAGACAGACACACAGACACAGACAGACACACACACACACACAGACAGACAGACAGACACAGACAGACACACAGACAGACACATATTTTAAGTTTCCTACGAAATATGCATCTATAATAATACAAATATTTAAGTATTTTGACAGCACAGCGAGCATTGTACAGGTAATGTAGTTTTTCACCACAAATTCTGCTTTTAAACACAATTAAAAATAAGTTGAAATACTGCAGGCTGACAAAAGCACATACCATTGATTAACAAGCTTGGAGCGCACAGTAATTCCGTCTTTAACGGTTTAGGAGTTATTGTTAAAAATCATGGAGTTTTAGTTTTTACTTCCGTAACTCTAAGTCAGGGATGCATGAGGAGCATAACACGTAACCGATGTTCACGTACCGTTTCCTCTGTTAGAGCAGCTTTTGGTGTGTTCAACAGGTTGGTTCTCGTGCGGTTCTGCTGATATACGAACATCTCCGGGTTTGGGACACGACGCTTCGCTGGCTTCAGTGAGCGGGTTCGGTCTCTGCACACGGTTTTCCCGCTCTTTGATCTCCTCCGGGATACATTCGCTGTCGTCTCGCGCCAGTGTTTGTCTGTCTTCTTCCACAGAGCCGTTCTTGACCTGTGAAGGTGTTTCTGTGCCATTCGTATCACTGTTCTCAGAAAAGCGGACCTTTTTCTCAGTGGCCTTGAGAACGGACACGTCTGTAGAAACACGTCTACTGTGGTCTGCGACACCGGCGGAGTCTTCAGATGCACGTGGCTTTGTGTTTTCAATGTCAGTCTCTGGATTGACGCTCTCCACCTCAGGAGCACAAAGAGCGTCGAGTTCCTCTAAAAACTCCTGCAAGCTGCTCTCTGGACACACCTGGCAGAAATCAACCAACAGGTATTTATAATATTGGAAAGGGCTACACTTTAACCTCAAACTTGAACGGTTTTGAGTGAATTTCATGAAAACATCTAGAGGTTATCTCCAAAAATCTAAATCAAAATTATAAATAAGCTTATATTTAGGACTATTAATATATTATATTATGCATATATATATTCATAAAAATTAAGCACATTTTTATCTCAAACGTCATGAAAACATATCCAGAAGTTACCCCAAAATCAGAATAAAAAATTATAAATAAGACAGAATTTGAAGCCTATATTTAGAACTATTAATATATTTTATTGTGAAATTATTTTCAGAAAAATTAAGCACATTTGCATCCCAAACTTGATTATTTTCGAGGGAATTTCATGAAAACATATCTAGAAATTATCCCGAAAATATAAATAAAAAAATATAAATAGGGCAGAGTTTGAAGCCTATATTTAGGACTATTAATACATTTTATTGTGATTTTTTTTGTAATTAAAAAAATAAATAAAATTAAGCACATTTTCATTGCACACCTGATCGTTTTTGAGTGAATTTGATTAAAACGTGTCCAGAAGTCAGCCCCAAAAATAAAAAATAAGACATAATTTGAAACCTATATTTATGACTATTATCATAATTTATTGTGAAATTATTTTCATAAAAAACAAGCACATTTGCATCCCAAACTTGATTATTTTTGAGTGAATTTCAGGAAAACATGTCTAGAAATGATCCCGAAAATCAAAAAAAAAAATATATATATAAACAGGGCAGAATTTGAAGCCTATATTTAGGACTATTAATACATATTGTGAAAATAATTTTTATAAAAATTAAGCACTTTTTTATTGCACACCTGATCATTTTTGAGTGAATTTGATTCAAATGTGTCCAGAAGTTAGCCCCAAAAATCTAAATCAAAATTAAGACAATTTGAAACCTATATTTATGACTATTAATATATTTTGTGAAATTATTTTCATAAAAAACAAGCACATTTTCATCCCAAACCTGATCAAACCTGAGTGAATTTCATGGAAGCATGTCCAAAAGTTATAGGATCAAATTTAAAGCCTATATTTAGGACTATTAATATATTTTATTGCATAACTGCTTTCATAAAAATTAAGCTCATTTTCATCCCAAATTCTAATTACTGCAGTAGTAATACTACTACTACTACTAATAATAATAATAAAAATCACCTGCAAATGCTCGTCCTGCTCTTTAGCATCCCACCTATGAGGACAAAACCAAGAAATGATTTGCAATCCTAGTTATCACTCAATAAATTTGGATATCAATTTACCCATTAAAATAGTAACGGTTTAAAAAAAAATGTTTTGGAATCAAAGATATTGTGATAGTACTATTCAATATTTTATATGTAGTTTCTTAATGTACTATTATTATTATTTTTATTTTTTTTTCCCAAAAGAATACCATGATACTTAAAAAAACATGGCGATTTTAGATGACATTAATAATAATATCTTTAATAAAAAAATACATAACTTAATACGAATTTAATAATATCTTTATCTTCTATAATAGCATCACAACAGCTTTGATTTAAAAAAAAATTAGTTTTTGATCAGTTACTGTGTGTAACGAGTAAATGAACATCCATTAACTGTATAATAAGGAACTCGTAATAAGCTTTTAAAAGTCGAATTATGAGAAGTCATGTTTGTGGTTGAACGCTAAAGGGAGTGGAAATGCACGAAACCATAAACTGCTCTGAAAAGCATTTCCCATCATCCTCTAAATGGGGCTAAATGTATGACATAATGGCTTTGAGGGAAGTTGCTGTAAACGGTCAGCAGTTTGAGGTCAGTTTACCTCCTCGCTCGACCCGTCAGACGGTCTTTCCCCTTGGCTTTACTGCCCTCCACTGGAACACACTTCCCCGTCCCGTCTGACGCTTGCTGTCGAACTAGAAGAGATTAAACGCATCAACACGCACTGTAGAATGTGATTTCATGAACTCCTATTAACTCTTACTATGGAAAGAGCCTTGGATATTATTAACCACACAGTGCCACAGTGACCGCAGGAGATCACTTCATATTTTTATATAAGCTACCAAAGAAATTAGAGCTGGAATTTTAATGTAATGTTGTTAATATAATATTAACTCATTTATATATAATTTATTTAAACTCGAATTTTAATTTAGTATTTTTATGTTCAATATTTTTTATTTAGTATTTTTATACAATATTTTATATAAGCTTTCAATGAAAATTGAGCTCGAATTTTAATTTAGTATTTTTATACAATATTTTATATAAGCTTCCAAAGAAAATTGAGCTCGAATTTTTATTTATTATTTTTATATTCAATATTTTTGATTTAGTAATTTTATATATAATATTTTATATAAGTTTCCAATGAAAATTGAGCTTGAATTTTAATTTAATATTTTTATATTTAAGTACATTTTTTATATTAAATATTTTTTTTATTTAACATTTTATATTTAATTAAATTATATTTATATATATATAATTTAAAATTTTTATAAAAAGTTTACAATATAAATTTAGCTTGATTGTTTATATTTACTTAAATCATTTAATTTATTTTATATGCACTTTACATAATTAAATATTTTTTTAGCTTCTAATCGAAATTTAGCTTGAATTTTATTGCAATGTTGAATTAAATTTATAAAAATAAAATAAAAAAGCTACATAAAAGATATTTTAAACTTGATGCTTGCTAGAAACAGGGTTATTATGGTTAACTAAAAGTAAAACTAATGTCATAAAACAAATTTTGTTATTTGAAAACTTTTGTCACTGGGCAACATTTTTTCATTTTCGAATAGTTTAACTTAACGTATTAAAAAAAATTGAAATTGAAACTAAAACTGACATTAAAATGAATAAACTATATGGACATTAAAAAAAAGACTAATAAAAATGACAAAACACAACAAAATGACTAAAGCTTTAACTAAAATTAAAATGAAATAAAATAAAATATAAGTGGAAAGAAAATCATTTTATTTGCTATTGCCCAGAAAGGACTTTCAGAATTCATGTTTTATTTATTCATAACTTCTTTTTACGTGTTTAATTTCTAATATCAATTCACAATTTTAATGCAAATGTGAACATCCAAGCATTAAATGTTCTGCTAATGAATGAATGATTTTTTTTAGGCCAAATAGTTTTAGGTTTTACCCACCTCTGGATTGTTCTGCTCTCATATTTCCTCTCCTGGTGTTTCGACCTCCTATAATCAAATATAATTAATACAGAAGATTCAACATCACAAACAAAATACAATCCACACAGAAAGCAGAACCAGACTCAATCAAGAAAATGAGATGTATTTAGCATCTCAGCTATAAATGAGTTCATCTGCTCACCTCTGTTTGATGTTCCTCCGTGTTCCTTTTCAGAGAACCTACAAATAAAACATTGGAAAAAACACGCAGACATGCAACTAAACATTAACGCAGAATAATCACTGACAATACCAACAGTATACGAGCAGGTGAACTAGGCCACTAGCTTACAGAGGCATGTCTTTTAGTACTGACACACACAGGTTTATGCTGGTTATTGGTGCAGATTTTCCAGCTACCAGCTTGATCTTTATGGTGAAGCTGGATGAGCAAGAAAGTACTGCTGGTTAAACTGGTTAAGAAGCTGATCAACATCTAAAACTACACATGCTGGTCACCATACAAGCTGTTTCTTTCCAGAAGCATCAGTAAATGTTCAGTTCAGTTACCTGTGAAATTCTTAAATACTAAACAGATGTGAAAACTCAAGATCTCGCTGTGATACCAATCACGCAAAACTTTTATCATCAACTTAAAACATTTTATTATGATTACATTTTATCGATCTGTAGCTGCCCTTCATAGAAAATCGAAATAGAAAAAGCTACTAGAAAAGCGAGTTGTTTAAACTACTTTTCTTACGTTATCACAAACTTACCACTGACAGAAATAGTCAGCTCTACTGCCTTTCCTTTTGCATTGAAATCTTTATTACAAGCAATCCTGCGGTTCATAAAGAACTGTGTTTTTCTACCTCCACGAGTGGCATCTATTATTGCCTTGTTTATCTAAAAGTGCTCTTTCCCTTTAAACCTAGCCAAAAAGCCATATGTGTTGACTGTGAATCACAGTAGACTTTAATAATATGCATTTATGGTGTAATTACTACATTTTCGTGTCAATCCATGTTCATAGTTACTGCAAACAATGCGCTGTTACTTTAATTCAGCGCTTGCAGCGCAGCAAAAATAGATTCCATCTCTGCACTTCTGCAGACGCACCGCTACTGGAACGCACTGCCGGACAGCAGTCGTGTGCAGTGTACACGCTTTATTAATCCGTTAACATGAGCGCGGAAAAAATACACACCACATATGCACTGCAAACGGAGTAATGTGAACCTGGCGTTATGTGTGTGCGCTGCGAGTGTGCATGAGCGCACGGTCTCCAGGAGAGCGCGCGAGCGCTGAATGGTTAAACACTGGCAAGAATTAAAAAGTAATGCAATTTATAAACTTTAGTAACGATGTGATACTGCCTCGCTTGTGCAAGTGACAATTCATGTGTCAACTGTGCAGCTCGCTTATAGACAGACGCGATGTGTGGAAGACATTTGCGTATTTTGAGAGAGCGCCGTTCAAACATCCCAGCATGATTATCGGTCGATAGTGATCGTATCCGATCAATCGGAACACCCCTAATTATAATAACAATTAATTATGCATAATTACATGCAAGTAACCCTAAGCCAAACCCAAATCCTAACCCTTACCTTATAGTAAGTAAATTACTTATATGTATAATTTCACAGTAACCAGGACACCTTAAAATAAATCGTAACCAATAATTATTTAAAAGCATTTTCGTTTTCGGTCCAGAATTTTAATTTCGGTGCATGCCTAGTTAAAACAGATTTACACTTTAATAAAGTTAACCAATAGACAGATATCGGTTTAGTCATTATTTAGGTTTCCATTCATGCATTTTTATGCAAATTTTAGGATATTGCATTTAAAAAGCTGGATGGAAACGCAGAGATGTGCATCAAATCTTAAAGTTCACATAAAAAAATGTATTTGCTCAATTGAGACGGTTGTCATTTGCTATGTAGGAAAAAAGCCACAGACTTAAAATATTTAGGCCTAAATTTAAGATTTATGTATTAGAATTGCGTATACAATTTCCTTCCATTTGGATTAAACGGTATTAACATAAACTAATAAACTTAATGTGATGCGTATTTGTCAGTCAAGCATAAATGGAACCGCTCAGATTTCTGCTCTCAAAAAAATCCTGCCATAGTTTAAATAATTTTTAATTAAATTAAATCAAATAGATGCAAATAGTTCATTTATTTGATATTTCCGAAGTGCGTTTTTTCAAATTGCTTAGAATTTGCATAAATCATTTAATTGTGACAATATTTAAATCAATTCAGTTAAAAAGTATGAAAATGGTTCAATATGATTAGCTGTGGGGCAAGCAATATTCAATTAGTTAAAAAACACTGAAACAAATTGGATTTATTGATGATAAATATATAAACACGGTTATTGTGCATTTAAAACACATTCAGTTTATTAGTACTATTAACAAAATCTGACCTGATTCATTAAAGACTGACAAATATGCATCGCATTAAGTTTATTATTTAAAACTAGTGGATGAAAATTTTACATGCAATTCAAATACATAAATCTTCAAATCAGGCCTAAAAATTTTTTTTTTTAATGAGTGTTTCTAATGGCAACTTCCATTTTTATTATTGATCATTTGCGGCAGTTTCCCAGGAAGTGACGATTTTGTTCTCTTGTGATGGAAACTATGCTTTATTCGCAAACGTTTTACGCAATATTCCCATTTTTGCAAATGTTTCTACCTAACAAGTAGCCTAAAACAATGTCAAAATAGATACTGCAGCTGTTCTAAAATCTCGCCTGTAGTTAATACAGTAATTTCCCTGTTATTGTCTAAATTTGCAGCAGTAATATCACATTATATAATTATGAAAAAGAAGCATCACCATTGGGAAACGTGGCAATGCACAATTCACTTCAAACTCGCATTCAGATCTGACTTAAATATCTCACTCTGACAAATGTTTTGGAAGCAAAACGCAGTAGGATTCATAAATGATCAGTGAGCTGGACTCCTGTTTAATGTCACAGAGGTGATAAAAGGTCCTTGTTTACGCTCTGATGACTGTAAAAGCTTCGTAGATGTCAAACTGCTCGAGACGTCGTGTCAAATCTCGTCTCTGTTCGATTAAACACGAGCTAATCCAAAAGAACTAGAACTTGAGTGGGAAAAAAAAAAGAATAGAAATAACATTGACTCATATCAAAACTTCTTATATATCTATTTGCTTCTGGGAATGTTTATGAATCACGGCTCTTGTAAAAACGAGTGGTATTTGGGGTCAGATGTCTCCATTCAGTGAGCTCATGAGACATGGATGACTTTAATTTAAGGAATTGAATCAAACTTTATTAGAATTAAAGGTCTTTCTGGAAACACCACATAGTCTTTGTCCTGTGTTTGTGGCAGAAATTCAGTGCTTTTATAATTGAGAGTTAAAGAAAATGTTTTATACAGTAAAAAAGAAAATACATTCTGTAATTATTTCTAAAGCAAAAATGCATTTATGAATGGACAGTGTACTTTCTGATAAATGACAAAAAGCATTTAATCAGTACTATTACTAATAATGATCATTATAATATAACTACATGGTTAAAGTCAGCACGAAATTAAAATTAACTTTACTTTTACTTTAATAATTTCAAGTGGTTTAACTTGAAATTATGACAGATATTACTATTGTACAGTAGAACTCATTTCTTTAATAATAATGATATTGCCATTATTATTATTAATGATCATAATAATAATAATACCGTTTATTAAACACTATTTTAAAGGAATATCACAGTTTTTCAAGGACCTTTTAATTCTTTTTATTTTTCATTTTTTAAAACCTGTTGTGCAGCAATTTGTTTGCTTAAAAATTAAAGGAATTTTATTCAAATAAAATTTTTATTAGTTTAATTAAAAGATGAATTAAATTGTTAGTTTTGTCCATTCATATGATGACCACCATTTTTGATAATAAATTTGCATTAAATCATAAAACACAAAATACAGAAAAAATAAAACGGACAAGTTTTTGATAAAATGCAACATTTCATAGGGCAGTTATACGGCTACAATTGTAATTATTATATTGCTAAAGCTTTATGAATTCAGTTGATTAGACATCTTTTTTTCTTATTAAAATTTAATTAAACCCATCAACAGATCAGAAAAGTTTAAAACTGAAAACACAGAATTTGAGAAAAAAATTTAATGGATTTTGGGGGAAGAGTACCGCCAAATGGATTTGCATAATAATATGTAGCTCCGCCCCAAACTCACGTGATTGGTCGAGTCAGAAGTTGACATGTCGGGCCTCTCAAACAAACAGATCAATGTTTAACTTAACTGAGATAAATGTTTTAACATTGAACTGAAAAGAATTTGAACA